CCTGACCCAGAATTGTACCCTCCTCCGTGGATAAACACCATGACGGGCAATGGAGCGTTGCTGGTTCTCTTAGTCGGCGTGTACACGTTAAGGTAAAGACAGTCCTCGCTGTGAGGCGCGTTTGGATCTCTGAATGCATCATTTGCGGCCACTCGCTGCAGACACTCGTCCCCAAACACCAGGGCGTCTCTGACACCAGTCCATTTGTCCGGAGAAGCAGGGGCTTTAAAGCGGAGTGGTCCTGAAGTTGAAAAATAAATCACAGTAAAGCCTGCATGTTAATTTAGGCACCTAAGAGATGGCATCTCACGAGTATTGGAATTCAAAGTTTTCAGCTATTTCAACTGGAGACAGAGTAGCTCATTTGTAACAATAGCCCCTCACTATTTTGATAAATGTTTTTGCTTGAATCCGGGTTGTGGTGCTCGTAAAATAGAACCTGGGAATGATGATGCTTTCAGTTTTCATTTTATGTTTTTTGTAGAAAAGTCTTTGTTTTCAAACAAGGATTCAACACACAGAATACATTTCATTTCATAACATAAAGATCTCAAGGTATTAGTTAATCTATTGAGAAGCACTTTAAGTGTCACAGAATCGATTATTACGAGTAGCAAGACCAGTTTTCATGTGTATACACTTCAGACAACGCATCGGCAACACACATTAGTGTCTAGCAGTGGATATTTTATTGAGAAAAAAAAATGAAAAAACGCAATGGAAAACAGACACACCACATGAATACGTAAGCTGATCAATGAAATGTTCATACAGATGCATAAATTGATTCAACAGATAGATATGAAAATCGGTACAAAAATATTCTACAAAAGACATTAAAAGTTAAAGAATTGTTTGAATTTGATTTAAAAAGCGGACAGGCAAGCAAGCAAACAAGCACAAAAGAACTCACATATACATAGAAATGTATGTGAGCCTACAGAAACATAGAGACTGCCTGACAGACAGCCGAGATGAAGAAACCGAAGTGTCAAAAGAGAGAGAGTAATTTAAAGAGAGTCTCTCACCTGTCGGAGCTTTAGCATAGGGAATGCCAGCGAACATTGCCACAGGGACTGAAGGTCCAGAGTCAACCCTTCCCCTCAGTGTACCAGAGGTGGTGTTGGCCAAGAGGAACATGCTGTTTGTCGCTGCTTGTCTTGTCTGTAGAATTTCATTGCTCAAAACCGTTATGAATATAGCCTGGAGCAGCCACGTTGTTGCCATTTTGCAAGGTACAATGAGAAATGTGAAGACCACAAACAAACGAAGGCCTTTATATAGGCCAGACGACACTCTAAAACATTGTCAAGCCTATGGCATTCCATGGACTGTACAGGTACCTCCTATTGGTGACTTTCAACTTTTTTAAACTGCGAGTCCACTGATAAGAATTATGAAGTGGCCCAGGGATTTCTTGGCAGTATTTTTCCTTCAAAATAAAAACGGTCATTTTTTGTTAGAAGTCTTTGTTATGTTATTGTGCCACTGGGGCCTCGCTTTATCTGTCAGAGCGAGGTCATGGGTAAGATGTCAATTTTAGGGACATATATGACTCGTTAAAAACCCTTCTAAGTGCCGGTCAATTTGAGGGTTTACATTGATGTGTTCTGTAGTGAAATAAATGCAATCACTAAGTATTATAGGACGTCAAAGTTCCTGATATGACAAGGCAGTATGAGGGTTCAGGGGGAAAATAACAAGGCACTTTTTATTGTGTGGGCAAAACTTCGTTGCGCAACATATCCTCAAATGTTTTTTTAACAAGTGGATCGAGGTTACCGCTACTTTGCTCAGCAGTTTGTATCAGTTTGTCATAACGTTTTGTCTCGCATTAATAATTATAATAACATTTGTTCAAAAGCATAAGTGAAGCAGCGTGGTGGAATCAGGCTCTCGTCTAAATAATCAAAGTGAAGAAACTTGCATTTTTCCCCAGGTTTTTTAATATTTATCGAATTTTTGTTTTTTGGCTCAACACATTTTATGCCCATTAAAGAACTCATTTCTGGGTTAATTTTTTTGAAAAACGTTGATTAAAGGCACAAAAAATGTAAACTTTCTCTTACCACGGACTCTAAAGCTAAGGAAAGAACTAATCTTTGCCCACATTTTCTCACTAATTGTACCTCTGAAAACAGGTGAACCCCACCTCTTTCTTTCGCAAATATCTCGACTTGTATTTAAGATAAATGGATATTTTTTAAATCCAAATAAAGACAAGTGAACAAGCTTTAAGATAATACCAATAACTCTACATGCCTAAAAATTTACGAAAGCCTGATTCCACAACGCTGCCTCAAAATATCCTGCTTAGGAAAGAAATGACAGAGTTGTTTTTAAAAGCGATATTTTCTCAGCTGTAAACCCTTTCGAAATTGTAGACACCACCCAATCAATAGCAGCCTGTGAGGTAAGCATCGTTTTCCAGGTGCATTTTGTCCCAGGCTGCCCGGGTTGAAAAATATTATATCACGCTCACGGGCTGGGCAGACGGGCAGTTTTACGCACCACAGGTCTAACGGTGGCAAAGACTCAAACGTTTTAAGTGCGGTCAAAAATTAAATGTGTGGCCCAAAGTATCCCCAAACATCTCTTTAACGGGTGTATCAATGTTTCTACTAATTTGCACAGTAGTTTGTATCAATGTGTCCCAACTTAACCATATTTTTCTATAACAATTAAGACTAGATTTTTAAAAAGCATTTCCTCATGAAGATGTACATAGAATACTATAAATCTCCGTCACGCGAAAAATGGGATTGTTCGGAGCACTTCCCGTTTCTCCCAGACATTTTCAATAGGCATACATCCTACGTCACAGCTCATCAAAGACACGTTGTTATGGTAAAACTTGTTGCAAGAAATTAATTTTACAGTGAACACCTATTTTGCACTAATGATTCTCAAAACATACATTTAAAAGCATAATATCTTGCTTAGAAAAGAAATGACGAACTTGCTTTTAAAAGCGATATTTTCTCAGCTATAAACCCTTTAGAATTTGTAGAAACCACCCGCTGGGATTTTTAAATTAGTATCTATCTAGTTTTCTAGAAATCAGTTAACAGGTGTTTACAAATATATATCGGTGCGAGTCATTGTGCAAAAGGTGGAGAGTTTGTGTTCAATAGTTCAGCAGTTATTTGACAATAAGTTGTACCACGAATTAATTTTTTGACGGCAGTATATTGTATGCCTTCCTGCAGAAGAGAAGGGTTTCTCAAATATTGTATACCTCTAACTTGCTGTTTAGTGTGTGTGTGTGTGTATGTGTGTGTGTGTGTGTGTGTCTGTGGGTGTGGGTGTGGTGTGTGTGTGTGTGTGTGTGTGTGTGTGTGTAGTGTGTGTG